TGTATAACATCTACACAGGTGACGAATCATGGATCTATGCATATGAGCCGGAAACAAAACAGCAATCAACTGTATGGGTCTTCCAAGACGAGGCAAAACCAACAAAAGTTGTTTGAGGAAGAAGCACATCGAAACAAACGATTGCCTGTTTTTTCGGCATTAACGGTCATGTGGCAACAGTGGCGTTAGAGCAACGCAGAACTGTCAATTCTGAATGGTACACGACCATTTGTTTGCCAGAAGTCATCGGAGAAATTCGAAAAAAGCAGAAGAACAGGCGAATCATTCTTCATCATGACAATGCGAGCTCTCACACATCAGCTCAAACAAAGGCATTTCTGACAGAGCGAAAGATCGAACTGATGGGTCATCCGCCGTTCAGCCCTGATTTGGCACCCAATGACTTCTTCTTATTCCCACACATCAAAAATAAATTACGCGGACAACGATTTTCGACCCCCGAAGAAGCGGTTGATGCATTCAAAACGCATGTTTTGGAGTTACCTCAATCGGACTGGAAAAAGTGCTTTGAAAATTGGTTCAAACGCATGCAAAAGTGTATTGATCATCATGGAGAATATTTTGAAAAACAATAAAACCAATTTCGATCCTACATACTTGTTTTTTCATTATTAGGCCAGAAATATAAATAGCAACCCTCGTATAATCATATGCCATTAGAAGCACGCTTTTATAAAACTAGACATTCTTGAATAAAGTGTTTTTTATTCAAAATGTTTATTCAAATTTCTTTACTAAATTGCAAGTAAATTATTAAACGACTGAAAAAGAAATATCGTATTTTATAGTTTGAAAGAAATAAAAATAAAAATATTAGTAAACGATTATTAGCGAAAAAAATATGAATGAAATTTTACGTTACGCACGCGAAGTCAAGTTCCTCGCAAGTTGCGTTTTTAGTCATATTTTAAAAGCTAATTAAGCAATTCAAAAAAAAATTACACCCACTCATAAAACTCATTTACCCAAAGATAATTTCACGACAAAAATAATTTTTAATAATTATTTATTATTTAATTAAATTAAGGATGGAAAATTTTGGAAGGTTCCACCTTGGTAAAAATTTTTGAAGGATTTTTTGAATTCCTTAATTAGCTTTTAAAATATGACTAAAAACACAAGAAGTGAAATTAACATTAAGGGGTCCAAACTTTGAATCGCTCTCCTGCCCAAACTATGGGGACCACATTTCCCAGATTGCGGCTACCCCCTATATTTTGAAGATTAAGAATCCAAATATGTAAAAAAAAATATATGTTTATTCAGAGAAAGTACGTTTTTGTATCTGATTTCGTAACTTAATTATTAGTTAGCACTAATTAATTAGCATATTTGTGGTCACCCCCTGGAACCATTAAGATTGACACTTAGTTCGTGAAAATCCGATCACTAAAGCAAAAGTTATTCAGGGGGATATCTTTTTCTTTTCGCGGACTGTACATATTCTTAGTTTCTTATTCGAATACTTAAAAAAAATTTTGCATTGTCAAAACTTATATCTAAAAACTTACAAAATGTTTCACATTACTAACTACAAGATTTATTTTTAACACAAATCACATGATTATTTTAGCTTAAAAAATATTTAATTAAAATTCAATATTATGAATTAATTTTAAAAAATGCACGACACACTTAAAGCACATATTGAAACAAATAAAACAGACACATTGGAAAACATTTGGAACATAAACATCAAGCGAAAACGTTTGGAACTTAAACACTAGATGAAGAAAGTTTGGAAACACAAACACTGGGTGAAAAAATTAGGAACACAAGCACAGGCTGAAAAAAATTTTATACAAAAAATACTGGAAAAAAAATTTGGAACACACATTGGAAAATAAAAATTGAACCAAACATTGAAAACAGAAAAATTGAAACACATACTGAAAAAGAAAGAAAAAACACACATCGAAAGAAAAAAACTTGAAACGCACATTGGAAATTAGAATTTGGAAAACACACTGGCAATAAAATCGGAACACGAGCTGGAAATAAAAAAGAACCCACTAGAAATTAAAATACAAACCATATTGGAAATAAAAACAGATTATATACTGAAAAAAAAAAAAAAAAAAAAATTTCTTTGATTTTTCTCACAGTTTAATAGTCTTNAAAAAACAGGAACTGAACATAAAGGAGAATCACAGAACATAGAAGAAACTGGAAAACTCGAAAATAAAATTTAGCAAAGTGAAAAAATTGAAAATATGGGGAAAAAAAAGAATCCGTAAAGAATTACACATTACAAGAGAGTCGTTCAAAAAATGAAACAAGGCCATAAAACAAAACGGTCAATGTGACAAAAATTTTAGCAATCGGAAAACACATTGAAAAAGCTAAAGGAAAATATTTAAAAAAAAAAAACACTTTAAAACACACTTTGGAAAAAAAAAACACGCATTGGAAGCAACTAATTGGAACACCAACACAAGACGAAAACATTTGAAACACAGACACTCTAGAAGAAAAAATTTGGAACATAAACACTGGAAAATTGGAAAACAAACATTAAATGAAAATAATTGGAATATGATTAGGAAAATAAAAACTGGATCAAGCATTGAAACCAGAAACATTGGAATATATGTTACATTGAAAGAAGAAAAAAAACTTCCCTGGAAATAAAAACACACATCGGAAAAGTAAAATTTCTATAATGAATATATATATATATCATCA